GGACTGATGAGTATTCTCCCTATGTTGAAACCTGCGACGCGGTGGATATGGTGGATACTGGGCTTGCCCTGCAGGCTCGCTTTCAGGACTCTTTCTAAATGTCCAAATGGAGTTGAGACGACTGCAAGGCCACCACAAGGAGTACATTTAGAGGGCCAATGATGCAGAAGCGGCCCTGAAGAAAGCAAAGGCTGATGCATCTTCTGCCATTGAGGCCATCGAAGCCTCCAAGTTAAAGCAAGCTGAGGCGAAGTCGCAGACGAAAGCACTTTCCAAAGAAAGCGATGACTTGAAAAAAGAAATCTATCTTTGCAAAGCTAAAGTGAACGCACTGACGAAGCGTGTGGAGAATTATGATAACCTTCAACGGATTGCTTCGTCAGCCTGGGAGGTTGGTAATAAGGAGAAGGGGGAGCTGAAGGCTCAAGTTGGAGAGTTAATTGCCGAGGTGGCTAGTCTAGAAGTGGGGGCAAGGGAGGAAACATTTAAGAACTATGTTGCTCATTTTCCACAGAAAGCGCCAATCTGTTGATCCCAAAAAACGTACCAATAATGTGGCTAATAGATCATAAGGTCTCTCATCTCCACGCAAGCTGAATTTTTGCACACTTGAACAAACTGTTAGTCACACGTGGCCTTCTTCGGAGGGGACGGAGTTGGCCGCGTGCACTATGATGATCAAGTCGGTTGGAGAAATAGTTTAGAGTGTGAGAAAGCTTTGAACGCGAGCCTCCAATAAGTAAAAAGGGGGTCGGCTTTGGGTGAATGGTTAAAATGTGTGTAGCAAGAATATAGTTTTGAGATTCTAAACTTACATTACCTTTTAATGACATTAAGTGTGAGCTTTTATATTTGGGCAAAATGAATGGAGTTCATTGGATGACGGTGTACGTGGCCTCATCGAAATGACTTCTCTGTCTTCTCTTTCTGTTTGGTTCACATTATTTAAAAATACATTTTTTCAAAACTTATTTTCAGCCACACATTCTTTAATAAAATAATATTTTTCATCACATCAATAACTTTTCCTTATTTTTCAACCACATATTTCTTATCATATCACTATTTAAAATACATTCTTTCATCAATAATATTCATCAAAAACACTCTAAATGTCCAAGCAACATGTATGTAATGTTTGACCAGAAGGTTAAAATTGTCCTAAACAAATTTACCTCCAGCTCGATTCCGTTTATTGTTGTTAAGGCGAAATGTTATTAGACGTGGTTGTGATATTCAAATTGGATGAATACATTTTTTTGTATAATTTTTCCTTTCAGCTGGACAACACGTGCATTTTGTGTGACCACTTAACTTCTAAATATTATTATTATTATTATTATTATTATTATTATTATTAGTTTTTGACAAATATTAACCTTCCGTGTTATTAAATTCTTCCTCTTTTTCATGAACGAATTCTTCATCCAATTAAGCAAAATTAACGAGAA